CCTTTTTATATTAAATAAAAAACAATACATCCCTGGAAAGAGCAAATTATACAAGGACATAAGTGAAGTAAGAAAAGAAAATGTTTTACACTAGTGGTGCATCTGGCATATTTTGCTAGACTCATATTTCATTGTACCAATTGGCACTCTATGGCTAATGTGGTCAACATCACACCAGCCACCTTTACTTCCCAGAGCATTACCTAGTACCCATTTTAAGCTGGATAAACCTGTGAGCCAAGGACAATTCTGAAAAAATTTCTGACCCAATGTGGATTCAAACCCAAGAATTTAGCATAGGCAGGGGAGCATCTATACAAGGGCACATAAGCAACTTAATGTCATCAAGTTGGACTAATTATTATTGTCTGCCAAGTGAAATGTGATCGGTCATGAACCTGTGGTAATAAAACGGACCTGGCCAGCACATCCTGCAATGATTGGAGTGGAGTGATCTACCAACAACTTGTGTGGCCACCAAACAGAAACTGTCTTATAACATGCTGTTGGCGCCTTTCTGTCTTTCCAGACGATAGTGATACAGTGCTTTGAGGACACACAGGACTCACAGCCCATGGCAATGGCAAGTGCGATGAGCAAGACCTGTCCGCATTAATAAAAGTCTTCAACAGTTAGAGCATGGGATTTCAGGACCACTGTTCCCATCATACGCATTGAATGTTTTTTTCTCAGACACTCAGCTCCCATCTTTTCTGCAGTTATTTCTTCCATCATTCTCATAAGTTTGTAAAAAAGGAAAGTAGAAGACCCTTTTACATATCCTCAGGCATACTGGCATACAGGGCTAGACCTATATTTTATAGACCAATCATCACTTAGTGGGTGATGCGGTCAGCATCACACAGCTACCTTTACCTCCCAGAACTTCACCCATTAAAGGCTGAGTCGACCTAGGAGCCATGGTCATTTTTAAAAAATAAAAAAGATTACGCCCTCATCAGGACCCGAACTCATGACCTTCTGATCCACAGGCGAGCATCTAGCTGCTACACCAAGGCTGCCCCCTCTTCCTTTTTTGCCCTTTCCACCTAACACGGTCCTTGGCACTTACTTCCCATGAATCTTATCTCCATATCTCTATCATTCATGTCCCAACATTACAGGTAAAAGAATATGAAAACACAATGCTATATACAAGAAATAGCAACAAATCAGAAAATGAATAAAAGGGTTACAATACATGTTTGGTTATAGTGTAATTTAAATTTACATGAACCGAATGTTAAAAGAATAACTTTCATCTATGTAATTTTGCACTTGCAATCATTATCAACTGATTATCTGCAGTTTTGAAAAACAATAAAAACATACATTTATGTATGACCTACATATAACTGAACAATTATATAAAATTGTAATTAATACAGCATGAAGAAAACAAAACATTGAAGACCGTAATCACATTGTTCTGTATTTACTAAACCATGATTAGGCAACTGTGAAACCAGTATATCATCGCATGGGCAAATTCTAAACCCTGATAAAACAATAGTTTTATTCAAAGTAATAAAATACAACCTCATCTGCAAACTACAGTACTAATTAGAAATGCCAAACAGTCATTTACTAAACGACTATAAGGCCATACTGCTGATACCAGTACAAATAAATAAACATTGCAATAATCATATTTGGATCCAGAAAAGCTAATCCAGTCAGTAAATGACAGAAGAAGTCAACTGTGTCAGCGAGCAGTCGTAAATACTGCAACGTACAACAGGTACAACGTAGTTACATCCAGAACAAATAATTTGGTATGACTAAAGATGAAGAAGAGGTTTTTTTATGTCTGGTAGTACGCAAAGGCACACAGTATCAGGCCTTTTTTTCAAACGCTACTGTAATAGACAAGAAGCCGCTGGCCGAATGGTTAGGACACTGGGCTCTCAAGCGGGAGACCCAGGTTCAAATTCTCTGTAAAGAAATAGTTTTTTCTGTTGGGGCCAAGTGGCCGTTAATCCTTAAGCTCAAGGACCACCCTCACCAAACTCCCATCCCCCACCCCCCGCCTACACTGCAAAAGTGGTAAATTAAAGGCATTAATTGGCATGTTTTTTGTTGTTGTTAATAAAACAGACACTATATTACGAGCTCTGGCACCTTTTGTGACACTTTATAATGCTTCCCTAGAACAACTCCTTGGAAGAAGCTACCATTTTTACTGGATTTGAAAAAAAAAAATTACTTAATAAAATACTGCACCACTGGAGTATTCAGCATCTATATCTTATGATCTTTGCTTGAGATACGAGGCAACAACTGGTTTATTTCTAATTACCTAATTACCGAAAACAAATTACCAAAGATGACACTAACAGTTTTAATTAACTTTAGTAAGTTGGAGAGCGGACGAAAACAGCTAAACTCAGAGTTAACAAACATGCTAAATGCTTAGCAAATTTTATAATTTTAAACTCTCCATAAGTGAAAGAAGTATTTCTCTGGTGTCTGATACATGTAATATAATAAAATGGAATGTCAATAGACATATACAGCAATTATTACTTTAAGTGTTTTTTTTTTTATAACAGCTATTTACAGTCAATGGGTCTATTATAAACAAGCCTTACTAAAAGGTTTCTATTTTAAACAGCTGTAACTGTAAATGGTTCTACTGTAAACAGTTGTTACTGTAAATGGTTCTATTGTAAACAATTGTTACTGTAAATGGTTCTATAGTAAACAGTTGTTACTGTAAATGGTTCTATTTGTAAACAGTTGTTACTGTAAATGGTTCTATAGTAAACAGTTGTTACTGTAAGTTGTTCTAATGTAAGCAGCTGTTTCTGTAAATGGTTAGATTGTAAACAGTTGTTACTGTAAATGGTTTTTATGGTAAACATCTTTTATTTTAAATGATTCTATTGCAAACAGCTGTTACTTTATATGGTCCTACTGTAAACAGCTATTACTGTAAACAGTTGCTACCGTAAACCTGTGTCAGCGATTGTTACTTTCACTAGTTGTAAACAGTTGCTGTTTTAAATAGTTATATTTTCAACAATATTCACACCAAATGGCACCACTAGCAAGCAATATTTTTATAAGGTTCTACTGAAAACATCTGTTGTTTTTAATTATTCAATGGGCTGAAAGCAATCAAAATAATTTTTGAGAAAAGGGACCATTTTCCACACCTTGAAGTGTTTTGTGTAAATGCTGCTAGGCTCTGGATTCTTATAGACAAAATGGTAGCACATGTAGTTTACAAGTCCATACTCTACAACCGGGCTACTGAATAGGTTGCCAGGAGGTCAAATCAGGCCCACAGAGACTTAGCAAGTGGCCCACAAATCACTGGCAGTTGTATTGTATTAATGATCTTTCTATGCTGGGACTCAGGCCCCTGGTGAATGATATCCCTATTTTCAAAATGTTGATCCTGGAGTAAACTTAGTTGAACAGCTCTGCTCTACACTGTAAAACTACCGTGACTTTCTGCATTACAAAAATGTTTTGGAGATCTTCTTCTTATTATTCTTTGACTACCTTTAGTTTTCAATGGGGCAAAGGCACTAAACATTTTCTACAATAATAAGCGTTTGCTATGCATGGCTCTAAACTCTTTCAGTCCCAAGGAAACACTTCACAAATTCTTACCTAGATGCCAAATAAACATAAGATTTGCTGATTTTACATCTCTCTCTACTACTCCTTGGGCTTCTGATGCTAAACCCCTGTGACTGAAATAGTTAACCAACATTCAGTTCTTACCAAACTTGTTTTTATTGGTGGGAGACTGTAGCTACATTTCTCTATAAAATAACATAGCCAGCCTCATGTCAGCTCTCCACTAATTCTCCAACCAAGGCGTGTTCTTACCCTAACTTCCCTGTACACTGAACAGGGTATCTGGGTTCTGCCTAACTTGTCTGCCATCCAGACTGATATTCTTTTTTAATCTCAGGATGGTAATGGTAAAACTTAAGTAGGAGTCCAGAGGGGACAAAGTGAAAGTGATCAATCAGTTGATCCACAAATGTCTCTTATGACACTGATGGAAGGTTACAATGTTATTACTCTTTGATGCCTGAATGGGCTCCAGTAACACACTGGCTCCAGATTTCATAAATACATCATGTCATCCTCAACACATGTCTTTGAAACACTGTACCTGGTTCTAAGGTTGACCCAGCCTGAAATGCGATTCAGGTAACGTCCTTGAAAGTAAAGTCGGCTGAGACAATGCTGACTACATCCCCCACTAAGCGCCAATTTGTCTATAAAATACAGGTCTAGCACTATATGCCTATATGGACGAAAAGGGTCCTTTAACAGGGGAAAGCACACAGTGTGAATAAATCAATGTATATGTGTAAGTGAGAGAGAAACATAATAGGTGAGAGCCGAGAGACAGAGGGGGGTGGGTTTCTAACCTCTACTTGTATATCTGTGCAAATTCTCTTGTTCTTTCACCCTTAAAATGGAGGTTGCCACATTGTGTTATGTTTTACAGCTAGGCTGTTATATCCTCACCTGTCTGCCCAACTCATCCAATTTCAGCAAACCGTTAATGAGTCATCTTTCACAATAATTTTGTAAAGGAGAAGTGGTCTTTTTTTTCCTCTTCCAAAAATGGGTCCATGAAACCCACACCAGGATGTGTGCAAATAAATTTGTTAAAATTATTAACTTCTGAACATCAACACACACTACATGGCCCATTCATTTCTAATAAAATTGCAAAGACAATGAAGTGTACAGATGATAATGTGAGTGGAAAATGTACAACAAGCGTAACATTAAATGAGTACAGAATTAGTGACTAAACTGGATTTCATGTTGTTTACTATTTCAAATAAATTTATTTTGTAATCATATATGCATAAATATATATTATCATGTTCTTAAGAAATATTTTATTTATGTCTAAAAATATTAGTTTTGGCAGACACATGTTCCACTGAGTTCAATGAATTTGTTTTTCCTGAGAAATTACGTCAATATTTTTTTTTTAAATATCAGGGAAAATGTCTGCTTCATGACTCAACATTAGGTTCATCCTTTATTCCTTGCTCTAATCTTTTCTTTTCAATAAGTTCTCTTAGCTGTTTCATCTCTTCTTGCAGGCTGTTTAATTCATCTCTCAGTTTGTTGTTTTCTGTTTCCAGGTAATCTGATTTGGCTTCCCGGATTTTAGTCAGTGTCTTTCTGTTCTCCCTGCACTTTCTAGCAGCCTCATTGTTTCTTCGTCTTCTCTCTAGGTATTTGGGATCCATGTATCTGGACTCAGTCAGGCTTCTTCTTGAACCCACACGAGCCTCTTTCCTCTGTGTGTAAGGAGTAGGACTGTCTACTTTTAAAGAGAGTGGATTGGCTTGTGAAAGAGTCAAATCACTCAAATGGGCCATCCCATTGACAAAAGGATGTGTTGGATATGAGGAAGGTGTAACATTTGGGACAGCAGCCGGTGATATGTTAGGAAACATCTCTTTTGGATAAGAAATGTCATGAGATGGAATCTTGTGGCGAAGTTTTAGTGGAAGAGATGATCCTGGAGGACTCACTGGTAATGATGGCTTCTCACCTGAGGTGACATTGGAATCACCTTCTCTACTGCTTTCATCGACATGGATACTGCTGTGCATACTGATGCTGCTGTCGCGACGAACTGTCAGCTGCAGTGGCTCGTCATAATTGTCGTCGCTGCTGTGACTGGAAATTGGGGAGCGTTCAGACCAGCTGGACAATGGATGGCTGTCATAGCTACGCTGAAGGTAATGCGCTGGACTGATGTGAGAACTGAGATATGGATGATGGCTGACTGGAGCAGAAGGTGGGCTTAACTGCGAACGATACTGGGAATAATTCCCCACACTGGCTCTTCTTAACAGAGACATGTCTGAATTATAAGCCGATCGCCTCTCAATGCTGCTGTTACTTCTTTCTCTGACTCTGACCTCCCCCTCTTCTATAAACTCCTCTTTGACCATGTCCAATAAGTAAGAAGAACGGTGTAAATTCTGAGGAGAAAGATGGTGCTGATGCTGTGGATGATATGCTTGCAAGATGGATTGTGAAATATGCTTTAGTGGTCCATCATGATTCATACGAGATGCTTCTGACAACAACAGTGGCAAACCAGCATTGGAGCCAGCGGAATACATGGCCATTCCTAATGGTAAGGATTCGGCCATTGTGAGCAATGGTGGTGGAGAACTATATGGCAAGTTAGAAGTTGCCTTACTGATTCCGCCCATTACTGAATTATGGTGCTGCGTTTGACCCATGTTCATCTCTGGAGGTGAAGCAGTGTTCATACCTCTGTGACCCGCCTGTTGTGATTCATCTGAATCAGTCTCATAACCGGGTTGCCCTTCAGGAACCTTAAACTTTTTCTTCAGGGCCAGCAATTCCTGCCTGAGTTTTGAATTATCGTCTTCTAAAGTGGTGATCCTTCCTTCCATCACCATATCCTGCATGCGGCGTTTCTCACGAGATTTCCGAGCTGCTTCGTTGTTCTTGCGTCTTTTCTCCCAGTAGATTTCATTCTTCTGCTCGTCTGGCACGAACTCACGAAATCTGTAAAATTCAAGAACTCACATTATTTATTTATTCACTGATTTATTCGTTTTACATCATCATTATCATCATCGGGTGGGGGGAGGTGTGGAAGGGGGGGGGGGTTGGGAGGGGGACCTTGAACCTGAAGGTTTAGTGTTGCATGGCTAGGGCTGTCGTCATGGCCTGTGCCAGTTAGCTTTTAATTTTTTTCCCCCAAAAGAAAAATCTGCAACCTTTACTGATGATTTTAACCCAGCTTTGCTGCTTGAAAACCCAGCCTTGTAACCGCCCGGCCAGCTGCTTGTCCAATCTAACACTGCAAGAAAGAAAAAGAATTCCAAAAAACAAAGACTACTTGGGAAGATAACTGATTTTGCCCTATCCTAAGGCAGCATTACCTTAAACTGACCCACAGCCCCCAGGCCAAGCTAGACAAGAATAGACAGCAGGAAATGTCCAGGTAGATAAAGGCAGCCAGTATGATCAAATCACCCATTAAGTGCCAGATGGTTTATAACTATATGAGTCAAGTACTATATGTTTACTAAGCCTCAAAATAAGAAAGCAGAATCTCAACCTCATTTATTTATTTCAATGTCAACAAACAGACTGGTAATTTTAAACTGAATGTATCTTGACAGATCCATATTTCTATACCAAAGTATCTTGACAGATCCATATTTCTTTTACCAAAGTATCTTGACAAATCCATATTTCTTTTACCAAATGTATCTTGACAGGTCCATATTTATATACCAAATGTATGTTGATAGATCCATATTTCTATACCACATGTACCTTGTAAAGTCCATATTTCTATACCAAATGTACTTTGACAGGTCCATATTTCTATACCAAATGTATCTTGACAGGTTCATATTTCTATACCAAATGTATCTTGACAGGTCCATATTTCTTTACCAAATGTATCTTGACAGGTCCATATTTCTATACCAAATGTATCTTGACAGGTTCATATTTCTATACCAAATGTATCTTGACAGGTCCATATTTCTATACCAAATGTATCTTGACAGGTTCATATTTCTATACAAAATGTACTTTGACAGGTCCATATTTCTATACCAAATGTATCTTGACAGGTTCATATTTCTATACCAAATGTATCTTGACAGGTTCATATTTCTTTACCAAATGTTTCTTGTCAGGTTCATGTTTATATACCAAATGTATCTCAACAGGTTCATATTTCTATACCAACTGTATCTTGACAGATTTATATTTCTATACCAATGGTAGATTGACAGGTTCATATTTCTATACCAAATGTATCTGGGCAGGCACAAATTTTTATACACAATGTTTTCTGACAAGTTCATATTTTTATATTCAATGTCCGTTTGTGGGTCTTTATAATCATAGACTTAATGTCTCTTGACAGGTCCATATTTTTAGACTGTCTCTTGGTGGGTCTATATTCAAACAACTGTCTCTCAGTGGGTATATATATTTTAGTCCAAATGTATCCTGACAAAACTTAAAACTTGAAATACTTATGGGAAAAGATCAAAATATGATAATTTAAAAAAATACTTGTGGCCATACCTTCTGTTTCCATCCGAACCCATGCCATTGGCACTAGAAGAATCAGAATCACTATTATGGCCCCTGTCTAGCTGATCTCCTCGATCTGCATGATGCTGCATGTGATGGTGATGATTGTTAGTGTGATGAAGTTCAGATTTCTCATCAGAATTCTGCATTGGGGGTGAGAATGAAGAGTTGGTCCCATTTGGTGATGCGGACTGTGCCGATGTGATGAAAGAGGGCTGGAAGGGTTGTGTGCTTTGTGGAGTGTATGCTGCAGAAGCTGGTGGAAGCACTTCTGGCGACAGCTGTGGTGGGACATCGCAGCTGTGACTCGCCTTCTGTGGAATGGGTGATGAGTCAGGTGTTGATGCAGAATCAGTTCTGCGATTTCTATCCTTTGGCTCACCTTCTGTATACATATTGTTGTAAACGTTGAGGTCACGTGAGTCGGGGTAAGCGTCAGCTCTGAAAGAATGACAGGGAGAAAAAATGAGTTGCTTTACAAAAATTTATATAAGAAAATTAAAACTGAAATCATATGTTTGTTACTTTTTTTTTTCTTCAGTCACACAGGACAATCTCAACAGAGAAAATAATGCTTGTTAAGTGTTGCAAAATATATCTTCTTCTTCTTCTTTGTTCACCGTCTGTAAGCTCTGGTGGAAAGTCCTGGTTGTTCGTCCATTTGGACTTTGGCTTTGTGCCTGAGTTTTGCGTGTACATCCATTTTACTGGCTTATTTGTGTGCAGTTTGTTGCTCTGGCAGAAACACTCCGATTTTGAAGGAAGTTCCCAGTTAGTCGACTCCTATGACATGCTTGCTGGGAAGGCAGTGAATCTGTTCTTGTTTTCCCCACAATGGCGCCCCGGAACCCACACGGGAATCAAAATATATAATTATCACCATGAGGTACGATGGTTCTCCCCAGCATTGGAACTCCAACAGTATGCATCAATATATGGATCTCTACTAAGGGCCCCAGCAACACAGACATTTCGGCATCGGTTGCCGATCATCTGATAGACTGCGACGCCTAACGGCACAAGCAGATTTTGACAGAAGAAGAAGAAGCGAGATGTGAGTTTACTCTGTGACGGAGACTTGTGTCTTGTCATTCTTCTCAGTGTTAACCCGTTAAAAACTTCAGTGGAAAGTTCTGGTTGCTCGTCCAATTCCGGACTTTTAGTCTTGTTTCAGAAACAAGTTTTGCGTGCGCATCCATTTTACAGATCTGGCTTACCTGTATGCAGAATGTTGGTTCAACCCCTCTCAGGCATACGCAAGCTGACTTGGGAGGGAAAATGCCTCATTAGTCGCGTTTTACAACCTTGTTAGGAAATGGTAGTTTTGGTAATCCAAGATTACCATCTCAAGACTAGTAGGAGATGGAATGCTTGTTTGGGGGACTGTGCATGTGTTATTTTGTGTCTGTCAGTGGAGAGGAAAAAAACTAACCTATATAGTTTGTGGCTACTGTGATAGCCATACAACCTCAACTCTTTCAATCACAGGTAGTTGTTAAACTTCCGCATGTTTTTGTTCCTCAAAGTAACTTTTTTGATTTTGAACAAGGATTATAGTTACACGTGAGGGTACATTTCTTGTGGGTCATCCCATCTCAGGGACTCAGAGATTTCCAGGAAAGTCCCTAAAAAGTATTGAGGGAAACAAAATAAGGGGGGGGGGGGTTACGGTTAGTGTTAGTCGGTGTTCGTTTCACACCCTAACACCCCTACACTACTGGACTACACTACTGGACTACACTACTGGACTACACTACTGGACTACACTACTGGACTACACTACTGGACTACACTACTGGACTACACTACTGGACTACACTACGAAATCTCGGAGTTAACATAACAGAACATAGGACAGAAGGAGATGCATGCCCTACAAAGTGTGATCAAAGAATGTATTGTGGGTTCCTGGTACTGAAAGATATAAATTCTCATATACAAAATATGAGTCTCGCCTCATATGCCTGATTCGCCACTGGTGTGTTAAGAGACCTTTACTTAACTCATTCATTTCCGTGACCCAGTCACAGGGTGAGCATTTCATAGATTCCATTGCTTTGTTTAACAACAGAATCGTCACGTTCATCCAGCAGCCCCGAAGGGAGAGCTTTCGATTATAATTATGACTAGATTATCTACGTCTTTTTTATTTTTCATAAGTATCTAGAAACTATGAGTTGTTAACCCTTTGGTTCGGTAATTTGGATATCGCAACCCTTCGGCCATGATTCCATTATAGGTACCGTAAATCTTGGAGAAATGTGGCTTTTCTGCCTACCCCCAGGCATGAACACGGACCACAAGGAGTTCGTCACCCGGTCGCGCTTCAGTCAGTTTAGCCAACTGCGTAGCGAGCCGGGCATCTACGCCTTATAAAATGGTTTATCACAGCAGGCCAACAAGAGCCCTGAAATGGACTCCTGCAGAGACAGACCCAAATACTGTCCCGACCGGCGACGAAGTCGACTATCGGCCAGCCAATAAGAAACCCGGTCGCCGATGAGCATCTCATATAAAACAAACCGGGCTTTGGGCGCATTCAGCCTCAGCTGTGACAATAACACAGCATGGTAAACAAACGATCACCAGAAAGCAGGACTGCCAATGTCATTTTAATCAAAACCCAAGCTAAGCTGATAAAAAAAAAAAACCAAAGCTAAGCTGATCAAAAAACCTAAGCAATACATAAGCAAAGAAAAAACCTCAAGAATGATAAAAAGTACAATCGTATAGTTATAAAACAAAAAATTTCCCCACTTTTTTTAAAAACAAGATTCCAAAACCAGAACCCAAGGCGTCAAATAAAAACCCAGATGAGAAAGGGGGGGGGGCCAAGAGAAGAGATCAGCTACAACCGTTTAGCCTCCATAGCTGCTGGATGTTCCTTTAGAACTGTTGCTCCCCCTGTACCGTAACCCGCTTCTCGACATTACCTGTCTTTTGCTTTTCTATGAGCAACTAGTGAGGTTTAACGCAGGCCTAGAGGTAAGTGAGAGCTTGAGGAGTTGAGAAAAAAGAGTTAGAGGGAGAGTGGAGGCCTGACAGCAAACCCCTCCCGAAACAGTTTATGCAAGGTTCAAGGTGCGGGCAAAAAAGATTATTGTACTGAGATGAGGGCGGTACGGGAAATACGTTTTTTTTTTTTCTGTTCTAAACGTCAGACACCATAGATAGACGGATGTTCCAAAGAAGTGGCGTGATAGCGGGGGGCGGAGGGGAGAGAGAGAGAGAGAGAGAGAGAGAGAGAGAGAGAGAGAGAGAGAGAGAGAGAGAGAGAGAGAGTCGAATAGACAGGAAGTGCCAATAATTACATAGAGGTCAGTAGAAAGAAAACATCAATTATCTTTACCCATACATGGGACTGCAGTTTATGCCTGGCTTATGTAAACGGTATGGGCGCCCTAATTATAACTTTTCTAGTGGTTGAACAGGTGTAGCTAGGGTCTTCTTGGCTGGTCTGCCGTCCAGGCTTCTTCTTCTTTCCTAACGCTCAACCAACTCACGCGGTCGTTTTATCGTTCGCTATATTTCTAAGTCGTCCCCTTGTGGGATGTCATTTTTGGTTATCTGGAAGCCCCGCTCTGGCTGTTAAACAGGTATTCCGCGACCTCTCCACGGGTGATCCTCATTCGCATGGTTGCACTTTTGTGTCACCAGGTGTTTATCGCTCTGTGTGATGTCCCGGTGGGGTAAAACTTACTACTACTGCTATAATTCTTCTTCTTCTTTTCCTTTTCCTTCTTATTCTGTTTCTTCTTTCCTAACTCTCAACCAACTTACTCAGTCGTTCTTTCGTTTGCTATATTTAAAAAATCTAAGTCGTCCTCTTGTGGGGTGCCATTTTTTTTTTTTTTTGTTATTTTGAAGCCGCCACCCTGGCTGTTGCCGGGGCCCCTTATATATATATATATATATATATATATATATATATATATATATATATATATATATATATATATATATACACGCGCGCACACACACACACACACATACACCGTCGACAACGCAAGAAATAACATTAAAAAATTACCGTTATTAAACCTTTCAGAGATACATTAAAAAAAGCAATAAAGGTCGCAAACCTGGTGGATGAGAGAAACGGCTGTGCAGGATAATCACACGCTCGCCCACACACAAGAGACATCATTCAATAAGGTCTTTAAAATAGCTGCCTGGTTTCCATTGCAGTGCAGCGGTCAGCATAATATTAGGCCTTTGCTTAAAAAAATGGGGACAGGAGATAAGGGGGAGGCTGTCTGCGACAAAAATTCCTGTCTGGTGCGATCATCTGGAGGTCTGGGTGGGTATACATTCCCCATGAGTCATTGAAAGCAGAATATATCCAAGAAAGCGACTAGTGTGAAGAAAGGGGTGGGGGGGGGGGGAAGGGGCGTTACATCAGCTATAGGCTTATGTCACCTTTCTTGATCATGTAGAGCAGGGGTTTTCAACCCTGCGAATGCCGCGACTCTTTAATACAGTTCCTTATTTTGTGGCGACCTTCAAACATTCAATTATTTTCGTTGCTACTGCATAACTTCAGTGAATATGTGTTTTCCGATGGTTCTAAGGCGACCCCTGTGGAAGGGTCATTCGACCCCAGAAGGGTCGCGACTCACAGGCTGAGAACTGGTGCTATAGATCAATGTCCTCAACCTGTTAGGCCGCGTAAAAGTCCTGGTGGCCCGCTAAAGACGTCTGCCTCAACATGTGACGGGGTGGAGGTCGTTAGTTGATCTCTTCCACAACGTGCTGTCTGTAGGACTTAACACTTCAAGGATGAGAATCAAACAGGTACAAACTCCAAAAACCCCGTTTTACCGCATAAATCAGTAATATTATGGCACCGTACGGTTACGTAACCTGTAGGCCCGGCTCTCTAGCGTAATTGGCTAAACCGGATTGCGCGGTGACCGGGTGACGAAATCCTTGTGGTCCGGGTTCACTCCCGGAGGTAGGCAGAAAAGCCGCATTTCTCCCAGATTTAAGGTATTTACAATGGAATCAAGGCCGAAAGGTTGCGATATCCATAATACCGAGCCTAAGGGTTAACAACTCATGGCTTCTGGATACTAAAACGAACAAACGTAAACTGTAGTCCTAGAAATTAAGGACGATAACTAATGTAGCGGCTATATGAATCTTATGAAGCGAGTGAGGCACAGGGCTGCCGAATTTGGTACTTTCGTACACATTTTGTACTATTTGACCCTTGCCAAGCGAAACTGTAATTTTGATACTATGGCCGATATTTTGCTACGGGTTAGTTTTTTTTTTCTACCCAAAATAATATTGAGAACTTAAAAACAAAAAATTCTTTAGAAGACGTCGACAATGAAAGCATCGATGAGATCAAAGTCTTTGCTCCAGGACATTCACTGCACCGACCACTGCAGCTTTCTGACAAAGAATTTTCCTGAAACATCGCATTTTCAATGCTT